AAGGAAGGGGTCAGTTTATGAAGTAGAGGTGCGCATCCTAGAACAAACAGGAATTCACTACTGCTTTTAGTCCAATGGTTTGGTTAGTCAGAGAAAGGTTTGCCAAGCCATTGTTTCCTTTGATGGCGTTACGCAGTGGAGTACAGGGAAAGAAGGTATGTTAGTATGCCTCACGATGAAGCATAAGATGTGGCAACTCAAAGAGATGTTACAAAGGTACTACAAGTCCATGAATGCTTGGTCTGTCTGTCAGTTAACTGATCAAACGAAGCATAAAATTGCCTAAGTGCTAGTAGAATCTGGATATCAGAATCTCCATATTTATGATGTCAGGGGGTAACTGCCCCCCATGCTTTGCCATCTATTAAATTTCACACTAAATACTGGCATCTGTCTATTAGAATGGTAGCCACTCTACTGCTTTAACTTGTGTTACTGCTGCAGATATCCATACACTTCATAATTCTTAGTTTTTAAACCACTTTTTGATTATTAATTCCCGCACTTTAGGTCACCAATACACTTTTCATGTAAAGGTGAATGTCTTTGTGCCAGTTTACTCTTTGATATTATAAGGTGAATTGAATCAATAGTTAAAATTAATATGATTAATAGTTTTGATGAATCCTCTGATACATTTTCATTTTATGAAAAGCGCGACATGCCTCTTTGCTACAGAAATACTCCACCTCTTCAGTCTCTTCCCTATCTCTTCACCTAAGTAACCTCTGCAACAATCACAATCATTTCCATTCTTTCACTTTCTCTGTCTGTCTGTCTTTCTTTGTCTTTCTCATTTATCCATTCATTCAGTCTCTATTATGTCATTTATTCGTCCATATACTCATTTCTCTCATTTTTCCCTTTTTTTATTCTCATTCGCTACTTCTCTCTTTCTCGCTCATCATCTTTCACTTGCTTCTTCATGTTCTCTTTTTTCTTTCTCTCCATTACTTAGTTGGTATCTATTTAAATCGGCTTACATTAATTATTGTTTATGATGCAGCCTCTAATTTCCCTCTGGTTGCAAGTCGTGTCCCATAAAGATTATAATTCTCACTCTTTTATCAACTCATTGATAGTAACCCTTAAACACACTTCTATCTTCTGCTTGTTCATTTATTCCATCATCTACATTACTTTAAATTATGACTATATAAGTCCCTTTACATAAAAATATCAATGGTAGGCTCATTCAATCTAGTTACAACTACATATAATGTATTTCTGTTAAATCGTCCTTGGAATCCATTTTGGAAAACCCTATGGAAACAATATTTCCATATGTAGTATAAAAAGTAGCTTTTAAAATGTGACCGGAGTTGAATATCTCTATTTTTCTACTCCTTTCTTTTCCTACATTTCTTTACATGTGCAATCTTCAACTCTAAAAAGTGTAATAATCAGTAGAGCTGATCATAGTAAAGTTTACTCTCTCATATTCATGTGAAATCTATTCCTTGGTTATTTGTAACCAGCCATCAATTTTTTGTCATGAAAACATTATGAACATGACAAACATTTAAGTCCAGGATACTGCAGAAAATAAATACTTTTCCCATCAATTGTTTATTATGTGTAACTAATCATCATAATACATTATAGGACATGGTTGTATAATAGCATAGGAAAGTATTTGATATATATATCACAAGGGGAATTAGTTTTTATAATGCATTCCTTCTTTATAAATATAATCCAAAATACCATGAACTGAACACTGTAAAGAAAATCGAATTTTAAAAATGACTCAAGAATTTGAATATTGAAAAAAATATTGGTAATTTGTTTGTTAGTTCACAGTATTAACCTGAATAAAAACTTAACATGTACCTCATGCATTGTGCAACTTAGTTAAACATCTCAGTTATCAGGTATCAGGAGAAAATTATCAAATTTTATTAACAGCAAAGAATGATATTAGTTAAAACAGTAGTAGTATTTGACTACCTATTTGTAGTGTCCAATCATAGACTTCTAAAAGACAGAATTTTTAGAAAGTACAATAAACAGTAATTCAACAGTTAAAAGGCTTTATTCAAGATCTTTAGAGATTATGTTTTTTAATAGATTCAAGGAAGTATGAAGAGGATTATAAATTCACAGATCTATCACTCCATCACTGTTCGAAATTCAATATCACCTTTCTTAGAGCACTATATGTAGCGTAGACACCATACCTTTGTCTCTCTATCTCAGCATAGCAAATAAACCTGAAAAATTACTCACTGTAGCATTAAATTTGAGTCTTAAGTTCTGCAGTTACCACAGAATGTATCTTTAAGCGACTTCTCTTCTTTGTTTACAATGTTCTTTGCTTTTTCAGATCTCTAGCACATTGTGCAAATAAAAAAGGTAGTTGATTGCTGGTCATGCTATGTACTATTAAGAAAGCTGGCACTACATTCATTCAGGATATGCTGGATATTCTCATAATTAGTATAGTAGCTTCTTTTTAGATATTTGGGACATCTGGTGTAGCCGTACATGCAAGTTCGCAATTATCGTAAACTTGATATGTGCCATGCAAAAGTACTTCACCGGGCCATAAGTAATTACCTACACTTCTGGTTCTTCATTTCTTAGTTTAATTAAATAGTGTTGATAATTATATGTATGTTAATTAAGCAAAACCCTATCTAACTCCAGTTTTTTACACTCTCCCAACTTTCAATTTTCTTGTCAATGTTATTGTACTGAGGTATGTGCTTGCGAGATTTTACAGTAAAAGAAATGTTGAAGATGAATTCATCACTCAAAAACATCTTATAAACAAAATAGATCTCAGACAAATAATGAGCAGATCATTAGTATGTAAATTTTCTCCAGAAAGGCAATGGGAAGAGAAAGTATAAATATATATACACACAGCTATACACATACACACACAAACTTATTGATCAAATCTCAAATAGCCAGAAACAAATCAGAAAGATACTGAAAGTCAATAAAAAAAAAAAAAAAAAAAAAAAAAAAAAAAAAATAATAATAATAATAATAATAATAATAATAACAACAACAACAATATTAGAACAAAAAGAGACTTAATATTCAAATAGAAAATGTATTAATTATTATCAAATCCCGAGTCAAGACCTTACTAATTTTGACCCACAAAAAATTATGCATTTACAAATTTTCTTAAAGATAATGTGAGCAGATTACATTTATGAGGTGACAACTATATAAAAATATATTTTTCTTAAAATTACTTAATTCTATTTATGTCTGGCTATTGGTAACTTGTCTGTTAATACAAAAAGTATATACACATATACTTTCATAATAATTATATACATGCATATATACACAGTGTGTGTGTGAGTCTGTGTATGTGAGTGAGTGAGTGAGTGAGTGAGTGAGTGAGTGAGTGAGTGAGTGAGTGAGTGAGTGGGTGGGTGTGTGGGTGTATGGGTGGGTGGGTGTATGGGTGGGTGGGTGTATGGGTGGGTGGGTGGGTGAGAGTAAGTTTTACTGCAAGTGAGATTAAGTGTAAGAGTGAGAGTTACTGTGCAAGAGAGAAACAGAGTAAGAGGAAGAGTGAGTGTGAGTGTGCATACATATGTGCATGTATGTGTGTGTCTGAGTATGCTGATGGTGTTCTTCAGTGTGTATAGAAATTCATGTCTCTCCAGAGAAAATATAGATGGAATTAAAAACAGGAACACTTTATGCAAACAAAATGAAATCAACAAATAGCAATCCAATATAGGTACACGTCCTTATTAAAATACAAGAAGAACTCATTAATATGAATATATATATATACTGTATATAAAAACAAGGGCAAACACCAACAATTCCTAGTTATATAACCCACCATCATCTTTGTCAATACCTGTATTAACATCTGTTCATTAAATGGCAGTTACAAATACAATTAGTAATTATAATATTGTTAAAGACATAAATAGGAAAAAAAAACATTCAATAATAAATTGTACATGCCTTCACATCCTGAATTACGAAACAATAATTTTTTTGTTAATTCCTCTCTTTTTTTTTTTACAAGCTTACACTTTACTATGTAAATTTAATTATTCAGTTTTACATTAGCAGCCTCAAGTATTCTGACATTCTATTAATGTCAGATTCTAAAACTTAAAAAATGGAAAGGTCAGTGAAGGGATATCTAATTTATAAACAAAATGATGGCCTATAAGAACAACAACTTTTCTTAGACATAAAAAGAGATTCAAGGTTACAACAAAAGTATTGGAAGAATAATGACTTGTCAGAACAATTCTGTTCACTCTTGAGAGCAAAGAAAAAAAACATAAACCAATGAATAATTCAACTAACATCAGCCTGACATGGGAATCAGTTCAACCCAAAGCCTCAAATCCAACACTCATCTGATAATAATAACAAAAAAGGAAAAAGGTATGACTATGTAGGATTTCTGTGTACCCTAAGACCCTACAGGCTATAATCACACAGATACTGGATGAAAGGAAAAGACCAACTGGCCAACCTAAACAGAAAAAAATGTAAGTACATAAATCTGTTGCACTGAAAGAGTGCAAAACTCTCTAGAACACCTGACCAGCCATAACCACCCGTAAGGGTAAAAAAAAAAATTATCAAACAAGTGAAGGCTCTAACAAACCTACCAGTTTCTTTCGTGTGTGTATGTTTATCTCTATGCATCTATGTATATTGAAGTCTATTTATGTAAGCTTATGTGTGTCCTTGACTGTATACAATATATCTCTGTGTAAAAATATTGATGCAAATATGAGCACAAGTAGTTATTTGCGTAAATAAATGTATTTATGTAAGTGGTATGTTTGTGTGTTGTAAGGTTGTCTTTGTTGTATTTATGAGCTTATATTGGCAGGAATGTCAACCAAAAATCCTTATAGAGAGCAAAAGCTTTGGAAGCAACACTTATATACTAATCATATTTAAACACTGAAACATGAATTTCCTAATACCATACTCTGTTGAGGCTTTTTTGCCTTTTAAGAGTATCTATCTTATGATACAACCTTTCCACTTACTATCCTATCCCAATAGGTAATGATAGGAACAAAAGGGATGGAGGCTGCATGGTCGTCAGATCTTGGATAACGGCACGGTTTGGTGTGCAAGAGATAGCCATTGAGTAACTAACAAGTAGGTTTGAACCCTGTTTTTAAACCCAGCTTCCAGCAAAGACCAAAAGAAAAAAGATAAAATGAAACTAAGGCACTTGTCATAAGTCTTGCTGACGAATAAAAGTGGAATCTTCACCAGAAAACTGGGCGCAGACTAGTTTCTAAAGCTTATGGAAGATCTCTGGTATGGGCAGAGTACTCTCAGCTGGCACTGCAAATGCACTGCTATACAATGACTCCTCACACACAATCTCTTTCATTTGTGTCATCCATTAACTTTACAGGGAACTTGTATCCATCATTATTCTACGTCACCATTTGTAGTTAGAGGATAAATAATTACAAATTAGTTCTCTATCACACTGGCCATTGCAAACATTTTAGACTTTTGTCAATTATAAAACGCTTTCAATTAATGTGAATATCTCATGTAAATCAATAAGTGCTTTATTACATTAACTTATTGATTATCCATATGATATTCATATCAAACACTTTATCTAGAAAATTCTAAAATGCTTAAAATATAATAAAAATATATTTCAATTTTCAGTTCCTAATATTGCTATGCTTAAGAATAAGTTGAATACTCACAGATAACAGCATTTTTTTCTGATAAATACAAAGGTAAATCAACACAATATCATTTTAGCAGGAATGCTTTGGCAACAGATCAGATCTTCCTAATTTTCCAACAGACCTACTGATTCTAGCTCTCTTAATCATCATCATCCCACTCATCATCTTCATCATCATCATCATCGTCATCGTCATCACTCTCCGACTGCATGGCCAGAGCTCGTCCCATGAGAGCACGATGCAGATCCAGTGCCATACCCTCTAGCTGGGGTCCAGACGACTTATGATCACCGCTTCCATTGGCTGTCTCCTCAACCTGGTTTATAATAGAAATGGGTTAGGAAAGCAAACAGTCTGTCAGATGGTAACTCCCATATGCCATGAGTATACACTATTCACAAACATGATTCACAAAGAAAGTATTATTCTCCACAAACTTTGTTAAGCTTGACGCCTCCTCTGATCTGGTCTAACAGTTGACTGCGGGAATCCATAACTGGTGGCCGCTCGATTGGCTCGACTTTCTGTTTTATCACAATAAATAGATGGATGTTAAGTGAAAGCCAACATAGGAGTTATGGAATGATGCAAGGCCCATATTTTAATACAGACTTATAAAAGGTACTGGAATTATCAGGATTGCTAAAGGAATGGGTATATATGGATAACCATGATTTCATTTGGCTCTACTGAAAGTTTATTAATTACAGGTTAAACTCAGCTTTGGATAGGTGGACTATAGAGTTAGCAAAGTTTTAGATAAGCACTTACATCTACCTTAAATTAGGAATGGGTTAAGTGCTAGATGGATTACACAAGATAATGTTAATACTTAATTAAGATATGTTCAAACCTATGAGAAATGTTTGTTTTTGTTTTATAGCGAGGGCATTTCAGCTTTTTCTATAATAGCTCACATTATGTTACGAGAAGGTACGACGCAAAACAGGTTTTATCTCATAATGGCAAAACCTAAGTTATTTGTAGAATCACCAAGTCAGATTATTCAATTTTCGGTAGTGATCAGTCAAAATTTAGCCACAGGGTTTATTTAAATTAGATCTTTAATAAAACCAGGATTTACAATATGTTACAAGAAGATAAAACAAAATTGTTTGAAAAATATTGGGAGAAGTTATTCTAGGCAAGTTTTGATTCTGACAACAATTACAATAAAGTTAGGATTCAGGCTTTAGTCAGATTCACTCTTACTTGAAATAAAGTAAAGTTTCCTTTTTATCAATATAAGAATAACTTCCATCTAGCTTATAAGAAGTTCATTTCAAAGAATTTGCCAGGTTAACAATCTGCTGTCACTGTATGACTTGAAGTTGTGTGTTTTAGATATTTTAAGAACCTGTAAGTTAACTTCCTCTTTTCTTCTTCCATCTGATCCCAATCTGTCTATTTATCCCTCTAAGCCTTTTCTTTTTCCATATAATAATTCTGATTTTTTTTCCAATATAGCAGCATTAATGAAAATACATTTCATAGGTGGGTTTGGTTAGTTTCCAAGCAAAATTTCTTCTATGATACACAATACTGTAAGGTGTACTAATATTCTCATAATATCATATGAAGAGAAAAACAATAAAACTGGTTACAAGACCTAGATTCAGGTCCTTCCTCTACTAACAACCCCCAATCTAAAGAGTTCATTGGGAAATATGGGGTAAAAAATTTAGAATCACTAACTGAAGATTTACAACATAATGTTAAGCTTAAGCAGACTATTAGGTTTAGATTTAGTTTGAGATAATAAAGTGCTGCTACGACAGAAACACTATATGAGCAGAAGAATGAAAGATGACACTGGTTCTTATTTCCTTCACTACGGCAGTCTATTCCTTTTTAACTCCTAATGAAAATTCTTATATGATAAAAGCAAGCACACACTAATGCATTAGGTTGGCATGTCCATAAACAGTATAAAGTACAAAGTTCCTGTAAACAAAAAATAAACAGAAAGAAACAAGGTGAGAGAAAAAAACACTTTCTTGAAAGCTACTACAAATGTGCAAATGCAGAAAAAAACATAAGACACTTGAACCAACAATCAAGCTAAAATTTAGGGATTTTTTTCTTAAGGGATGACTTATAATAGCTAGGGATCACATTCAATTTCTATTAGAGCAAATCTTTTACATGTCATCATCCTTGTATTTTGAAAATTAGTCTGTACAAAAAATAAATATCTACATACACAAGAAAAAAATAATGTATTCATCATACTAAATGCATACAGACAATCAGGGGAAAAGTACAGATAAATCTTGACTTACAAACACTAGGTAACTTTTAACAAATGTCTGTTATACAATCATGCAGCTTCATGAAGTGTTCTGGGCGATCTCAATTATTGCTGTAGAGATATTCAAATACTCCCTCCTCTGGTAGGATTCATACTTTTTACAAGAACAGCCATGTTACATAAAGCAAGAAAACTAGCAAGTGAAGCAAGGAAAGCAAAAAACAAAAAACATGCCAATATCAGTGTCCATTAGCTAAAAGGCATGCATTCCATTCTAGTAACAAAGTTTTTCGTGAGCACATAATAAACACAATTTTGACCATTGAATCTGCACACACAACTGGTCTGCATTGTGCGCACATTGACAGCAAGCCGAAGGTAGCAGAGCTAAATACAATGTCATTCAGTTCCAACTCCCCTGTCTTTTCCAAGGTGAAGCTTTCCCAAAAATAAAAATATAAAAAAAGATAATGATAATGAAAAGCCATATACAGTTACCCCTAACACATCTTACAGAATAAACAGCCAGAAGCAAAAAGCTGTGATATCAACAAAGGTAAGATGAATACCTGCTCATCATGCTGACTACTGGGCTGTAGAAAGGGGGAAAAGAGCAGGCTCAGTGTATTAAATTATTACCTTAAATTCAACCTTAAGACAACAGGAAACCTCCAGCCTTCAACAAACTATATGCAACACAAAATTCAAATAAATGTATCCAAAATCTTGTTATTAAATTCTACCAGAAAAGAAAAAAAAAGCTGAGAAAAGTAATTTTGTCTATTTAGCATATGTTTTACTTATGAGTCTACAGCATGAGGCTTCCTTCCTTCTTATGCATACTAAAAAAAAATAAGTTAATAAGCATGGTTAGAAAAAAACAACAACTGATAACTTAATTATATACAAACAAAACCGACAATGATAAAAAGATTTTTAACTTCAGTAGTCAGTGCATTAATCACTCCTAGCATACCGCAGGCTACCTCACCAAGTTAATTTTTTCAGCATTCTAGAATTTAGTGAACTATATTAGGACATCCCAACCATATAATTCACTGGTACCATTACCAGAACAGAAACAGAACAATCATTATATGGAGAACACTACTTAAAAAAGAAAAACATCACAAGGTAACTAGTATAACTTAGTGGAAGCATCTTTACTCATAATTATTGCAAGTAAAAGTGCATACCAATATAAATGCAAATAAATTGTAAGAAGCTTCATATTAAAGACAAAATTCTGTAAAAGTTAAGCCTGTGATTTTTTTTTATAAGATTTTACATTCCAGTTCTAAAAGCTTAGAGAGTCATATAAAAATGCTAACTTTTGATAATACATCTCCTATTTAATCTCTTACATTTTTAGTTGTCTATAGCATGGGTCGAATATCTGAGTATCTATATTTTACATATACTTTTATAATGAATCAAAATAGCATGGTTTCCCTTCTATAACTGCAATCTCATTTGATTACAAAGAAGATTGCATAAAAAGAAAAAAAAATGTACAAAATGTCAATACATAATCCATTTTCTACCTAATACACTACTTTTTACACTCCTAATACGCAATCAATCCACAAGTACTTAATATATTCACATATCCCTTAAAAAGAGAGCCAAATTTTAGGCTTGTTAGCAATAAACTCCTACATGCTTCTTATCTACGCCATTTGCTCTGGTTTTATTAATGAAATTGTTAAACTTTGGCAGCTAATACTATGGTACCTCTGCATATTAATCCATATTTCTTGTTGTCAATGTCACTTCCATTTAGGTGAATATTAAAAAATCACATTTGTAATTTCCAATGAAAATTTCCCTGAAGACGATGACCATCACAATTATTTTTTTTTTTTTTTATCCACTCAGTATCTGCACTCACACATGCAAATTGCAAAGTTCTGAAGAAAGGGTTACATGAATAAATATTAAAAGGCACAAATTCCAAGTAATTAAGGCATAAGGCTGGAATAGAAAGTATTTCTAATTCTAACTCATTTTTTGTATAATAAAGGGAGAAAGTCTCTTAGAAAAACAAGCATTCTCCATTCTTCTTTGTAGAAAACCATGCACAATTCTCATTTAGGAAAGAAGTCACAACCAATTTTAAAAACTTTGTTTTTGTTAGTATAAGATACATTAACATGCACACATACGCAGTATCAGAGAAGCATAAATCTTTGCACATTTCTAGTACCAGCATAATTTCTTTTTATTTCCTTTTAAGATATAGAATTTTGAATATCACAATTTTCATAAACTATTATTCAAATACAGGGTTTTAATTTATAAATTTTAAGGTACTACCAAACTATACATATTTTGGTATTGAGATGTAAGTAACATTCCATCGATCACAATCATTTAAATATATCTACTTCTTCAAAATATTATACAACAGTTTTTTTAAAACAATTTGTGTACATACACAGAACAAACTAACAGCAAGACTGAAATCTCAGGTGAACTGACACAACTATCGTAACTGATAAATACTTACAGAGATATCAGTATCACCGATTTGCATTTGGTAACACTGTATTACATACAGTATTTGAAAAGAAACTTGGTTCAGTCTTTAATATTTATATCAATGATCAATTTCCTTTAACAATCTACTATTTCGATCAATCTTTATGGACATTTCTATTATCATATTCACAAAAATTATCACAATTTCTCCCAGAAACTTCCCAAATTATCCTAATCATTCTAGATATAAAAACATATCCTAATGAAATTTATTTTTAATCAATTCCACAAACAAACTTATTTTCTCTTTCTTTTCCTAATTTTTCCAATTTAGACCCTAATAATAAAGGTAAGTCCCCAACAGTCTTTTATAAAAGCACTACAGGAAAGGAAAGTGGCTTAGCTTTTGCTAGAGTTGGTGGCAGCTTGGGCATGCATTTCTTACTGCCACCATGCCAAACTAATGGATTAAATATCACATGATATATACAGACTAAATACATAGTCTTGAATTTTCTATAAATATGCACCACAACGTTTATAAGGAAACCATATAATCACAAATGCTAATGAATAAATCAATAACTATACATATGCAATAAATATATGTGCACACACACACACACACACACACACACACACACACACACATATATATAATATATATATATATATATATATATATATATATATATATATATATATATATATATATATATATATATATATATATTATACATATATATATATATATATATATATATATATATATATATATATATATATATATATATATATATATTATACATTATACATTTATTATATCATATATTTATATATATATATATATATATATATAAATATAGATATATACATTAATTATAAATATAATGAATATATAGTATAATAGTTATATATGTATAATATATATTAGTATTTTATACATATATATAATGTATATATATTATATATATATAGTTAAATCAGTTAATAAAGTATAAAGTATTAGCTATACATATAGTAGAATAGTGGACTGAGATATATGGTTGATATTAAATAATAATTTTTTTATATAGATATTATTAATGTATATGAGGTCATATAACGAGATATAATAATATATGTTATATATATATATTATACAATTATATTATATAACCTAAGGATTAATAACTTGAGTATATATATATATAGTTATATATATATAATAATTAATTATAATTTTATACATATATATAATTGCTTGTCATTTCCATAAATATTAATTAACTCCTCAGTGTATTTTCATGCTTTATTTACACATATATATTATCATTTTTGTATACCTTCTTTAGTGCTTAGATTTGATATAAATATTGAATACTGTGACATGAACGAAAAAGAATCTTTACTAATATATATTTATATATATTTGATATGATATAACTTTAAGTACTTAATCTCAATAGATATTATTTAGTGACACGCAATATAAAAATAGTATGTGAATAAGCGAAAAATAGAATATATAGTTACTCATTATATCACTATAATTAATAATATATTTTCTCAATTCCTATACATATGATAATATATATATATGGTAAGTAACAAATTGTAAATATATTCATATTAATTGAGACATCTCCTCAAGGACGTGTCCTTATTTATTTTACAAAGATTTATTTTCAATTTGCTTTAATAAGGAATATCAATTATCCCAATTACTCATGGGTGGGGTAGGGCCTGGGGTATATAGGTACTACTATCTTATTGTATAAAGAAATTATTTATTCATGATACACTATATCAGTAATTATATTAAAGTAATGTACAGTTAAGTTAATAGATGAAATATAACATTATTAAGGGCCAGGATATAAAATGAACTAGGATATTTTAAACCCTCTCCAACAAATTAAGAATAGATGAGAATATAGTTATAATAAATATGGCTTGATTATTTTATGCTAGGGGACTCATGTCATTGTATATCATACTTTTGTGGTATATATATATGAGAGTTAACTTGTAGTTCTCTATCCAAACCGTGTATTTTAGTTGTTGTGATTTTAGCTTTCTCAATTGATAGTATCTATATAGATCAAAGATTCCCCAGTAGTAGCCATAACATATAGCATATTATGCTCTAGAGGCATACCATATATATATTATGAACTTATCAATTATGCATGCTAGTATAAATATATAGATTATGCTCTAATATCAATGAATACACCTTTATATTCCATCACACAATGTATCTGTGATAAATATGTGTGATATATAGAGCATGTGAGAGGAAAAGTTATAGATAGTTAATTGCTATGGCTCATTCCACTCATTAAAAATTCTATATAGTAATATTTGATAAAGCAGCTAACTATGTGTATAAATATTCGTCAACTTTTATATAAAATTATATCATAGCTTTGGAACTTCGGTATTAGATATATATATATATATTGATTCTGTGTCCTCACTTTATAAGTTCTATAGTTAATATTGCTATGTTTATATGATTATCATATATCTTTGTATTCATTGTAATGCGAAGATAATCATTTTTATTTGGTTAGTCATGTTATATTAATGAGTGAAATATATAATGATTATACAATTAATGCATTTATATAAATGTTGTTATCACCATTATATCATTTATTATTATTTAATTAATTATATTTGATTATCACTATATTCTCTATTATTATTATCATTTATCTATATATTATTATTATCATTACTATTATTGTTATTTTATTATATATGTTTATAATTATATACTATCTATTTGTTATAATAGTATAATTTTCATTTTATATATATATATTATATATATATATATGTATATATTATAATGGTTAATCTAATCCTAATTACTGATTACTAATCTCTATCACCCATTGACATTAATCCAATCTTCCTGCTACTACTTTATTCATCTCTATACTAATCTATTATACTACGATTCATATCAATTCGCATACCTTCAACTCCATTAACCATTTCTAATTACCATTAATTCTCTAATCTTCTAACATCATCATATTAATTATATGAAAATAGTAAGTTGTTATCTGGCTAATCATATTCATATTTTTTACAATATCAAAATACATCTGGGATTTTTAATCTAACTCAGCTGCTCTTCTAAGAAATTGTGATCTAGCCCTCATTCGTTTATGGTGGAGTACGTTGGCGATTAATTAATTTTTGACTATGTGTTGGTATGTGTTATAGTGATATAGTGACTCTCGGTTGCCCAGTCTTTTGTTCGGAGCGCATGAGAACTCCCTCTAATAATAATCTATGTGAAATGAAATGAAGATATTATATAGTATAATATATATAATATAATATAATATAATATATATATATATATGCTGGTGTAGATGTATATATTTTTGTTAAGTGTCTGATATTAATAATACTCGCCTAAATTAATGGCGTAATATTGTATATTTGTTAGTGTTATGATTTTATATATTACAACTTGGGAAAAAGACTATCATTAACTCGATTGCCGTGTGATTTAAAACCTATTGTTATATTGGCCAAGACAATTGCATACATCTGATGATATGTGATTTATAGTATAGGTGCCTATATTTCATCCTATTGTAATCATGTGTTATTAAAATACGGATTTAGTGGAATATGTTCTTTATCATGTGGGCAATATAGTATATAGTTTAAAGGTCTTGTTCGCTTATCTCAATGCAAATTAAAGCCAGATATAATTTATTTAGTTTGTGAAATGTAGCTCAGGAAATTTTCATTAAATAGTATTAACCCCTTATATTTATATTATAATGAACATCATAAAGAATAGAAAGGTAAATAGTATATACTTATTCTATACTTAGGTGATAAGTATTATTAATATTATTTAGATACTAGATAGTATACTCATGGGGTTTTAATTTGCGTATATAATTGTCTCTAACGTGACTAGATATTGGCATTCTTGATTATTAATGATTATGTGTCAAATGTGTATATATATATATATATATATTATATATATATCATATATATATATGCAGTGTTGCCGTCGATGTTTTTAATTACTCAATAGAATATATAAGTATATAGATTTATAGGTAATTTAATTAAATATTATTCGGTATAAAATGTTGATGTTAATTAACTTATTAATATATTAAATTCTCGTATAATAAATAGGTATAGAAATTGTCCTTACTAAGGCCATGTGTATTTGTTTTATTTATAGTAGGTGTTCATATCTCAGGACTTTTACTTGTGCTGTGATACATTTTTTCTCATTTTGCGAAACCACCATCGTTAAAAGAAGGCAGTGCACTAGAGTCTGTGGACTTATTAGTGAACAACGATTTTGATATTCAAAGTGCAAACCAATTTACAGCTATATAGTAATAAATCCATAACACATAGTTACACAATATATACACTCACCCTGAAATTATACTATGCCTTTATTCCTGGATTATACAACTTCTTAGGCGACCTTCCTACTCATTTCTATAATACCCTTTATTCCGTACTATATCACTCATGCTCGCCTGATTTACTCCATCTCACCCTACTTATCCCCTTCTGTTCTTCTCCTCCAATTCACTTTATTTA